AAAACCAATGTCTTACTACAACCGAACATAAACATTCTCAAATGAATCTTTAGTTAAATTATAAAAATAAATTAAATTTAATAAACTTCTTTACAAAATTAAAAATAACTAAATCTAAATGTTAAAAATTTTCTACTAAACTAATAACTGAATGAAAAAAAATTATTGCTTTCATTCTTTAAGGAATTTTTTTATATGCATTTTTTGATTCTATGCTAATGTAAAAAGAAAATTTGACATCAAAGTTTAACTACTTCTACGAAGTTATCAACACTAACTTATTTTTATAATTTGATCAAAATATAACCACTAACACTAATCAAATAAGCTGTAAATTCTTCAAATTCTCTATTCTTGGCTCTTCGATTGCTCAGGCTCATTCGTTGCTTTGCACTTTTCACTCCCCATCTTCCCAAAGCCAAAATCAATTGAATTTAGCCTTTGGAAGTAAATTCAAAGCTATCCAGCTACAAAAATTCCCCCATTCTCCTTGATGTGCCAGTGCCACTTCCTAAATCCCTAATCATCCTCTTCAAATTTACTTATTCCTTGAAAAATTATGCAGCCAGTAACTAATCTTCTTTTGCAAATAATCCTTCATCCAACTATTAATATGCATTTTGTTATCTAAAGAATAAACAAAAATTCCAATATGAAAATTTTAATTTAGTATTAATTCATAACAACTAGCAGAGTCTAATCAAGTATACGCTAAATTAAAGAATCAATACGTAAATAATGAAAAATGATTAAAGTGAAGAATAGGGTAAAATCAAACTATCATTCTTCAGCCAGACTTGATTTATAGTCAATATCTGTACAGCATATAATTGATGGGCACTAAATAGGAAAAAGTAAAAGCTAAGCACCTCGTGTTCAACAAAGCTATTCATTCTAGTAATGCTTTGGCATTGAGTTTCCATTCCGATGCACTCATTTCTTTTCAGTCCGGTCTCATTAGAATTTGGAGCTGTTGGTCCACAATCACATGTTGGAACAGAAAGCAATCAATTCATGACTATGCATAATTGCACTGCAGCAAGCTTTTTCCGAGGGTGGCTCTTCAGAGTCGTTGGCCTGCACTAATGGTTCTAGTGGGAACTCTAGAATGACAGATAAATGAGGTGTAATTTTTTTAAAGAGGGTAATTAGTACATATTAGTGGTACCCGAAAAATAGGAAAAGGGATATCACGGAGTTGGAACATGTAACGAGTGACTGTAGCAACTAGCAAGTAAGCCCAAACGTGGGGATCATAAGTGAGGCATCCTGAAAAAAACCAAAGAGAGGGTAAATAGAGTAACAGAAGAATTAGGTAAAACTAATTTAAAATTTTATGTGCAGATTTGGCTTAGAATATCTATAGGGCATTTCAACAACCAGCTGATGGGCACCAAAATAAGATAATAAGCGGAAGCTACTGTACCATTCGATGAAGTACTGATAATTAGTAAAATTCAATCAAATAATCACAAAATTAAAGAATCGACAGATAAATAATGAGTAGAGACTAAAAATAAATAATTCCATTAAGGGTAAAGTAAAATCAGGGCCATAGCTATAGGAACAGCTGATGGGAACCAAAGAGGAAAAGAAAAATCAACGCCACCCGTGATCGACAAAATAATGCATCTGAAGGTCCCACTTTTTTGGAGGTATTCGTTCCCAGTCAGATGGGAGAACAGAATAAAATCAATTCATGATCTTGCATGGAAGAACGTTTTCTTGAAAGTAACTGCTCAGGGTTAGTGGCCTGTATAAATGGTCTATAGTGGGGAACACTAGAATTGACAGATTAACTTCTAAAAATACGTGCAGTTTTGAACACATGAACTTTGATTTTTTTGGAGTGTCGTCAGAAGTTGGAGTAGTTGATATGGTAGAAATATGAATTGATAGAGATAGACTAATGACAGTAGATTTTTTGAACTGAAGTTAAAAGACTAATGACAATAGATTGGAGAAGCAAATTCCGAAAATGTAACACCATTCACTCCACCCCTCCATGAATATATAATTAGCGTGGGTTGATTTTTCACTCCTACTATCCTTTATTACTATTTTATTAATAATTAATTTATCAAGATTTATGATACCTCTAATTAATGTTAGTATGTTAATACTTCATCCAACTTTTTGGTAATGAATCTTATACATTTTAACAAGTAAAAAGAAATATCGATGATTATTATTATTATTATTTTGAATAAGATATAATTTGCAAGTATAATTCAAGCACTTGTAAAGTGGTCAATAAATTAAAACCTCAAATAAATCAGTAACTCTATCAAATTAATCACAAATTACAAAACAATTAGTTTTTAGGACCAACTTTAACTTAATTAGTAATCTTAACATCTAAAATGTTTGAAGGGAAAATAATAGTATTCTCTAAGGTAGAAGTAAGCATATATCATGTG